GGTGCAGGTGCAGGTGCTGGTGCTGGTGCTGGTGCGGGTGCGGGTGCACTGCCACCGCCCCCGCCACCACAGCCGGTGAGCACGGCACAAAGCAGGGCGGCGCCGCCACGGCGGCGTGCGGACAAGGACAACCAATGGGGGCGCATGGGCATGACGGATCGAAAAATGAACAAGGCCAGGAGGCACCGCCCGCTGGCCTTGAGAAGGGCCGGCGCATCGCTGCGCACAGCCCCGGGTCGGCAAGCCTTACTGCTTGCGGGCCATGGACGACAGCGCTTCGCCGAGGCTCTTGATGGCCGTCGAGAACACGCTGTTGAGCATGCTGTATTCCTGGCCGGTGGCCTGGAACTCGGTCATGGTCTGGTTGAACTCGTTGGCGTTCTTCTTGTCCGCCTCGGCGTTGCCGCTGTTCGTGTTCTTCTGCAGCTCCGACATCTTGTTGGACAGCTCGACCATCTTCTCGGCCTTCGCGCCCAGGGTCTTGCCCATGGCCTTGGCGATGGCCTGCAGCCAGCCGCCGCCGCCGGAGCCGCCTTCTTCGCCACCGGCCTGGCGAATCTGCAGCACGGCGCCGACGAAGTCACGCGAGATCTCGCTGGCCAGGTTGGCCCTGAAGTCGCCGAGCTGGCCGTTGACGTCGCGTTGAACGTGGGCATCCACGGAGTGGTCGGTCAGGCCGTCGAGGACGCTGCCGATCGTGGCCTTGATGTCGTTGGCCAGGAACTTGGGCATGCCGTGGTCTTGCACCAGCTTGCCGATGCCGTCCTGCAGACCTTCACCGATGGCCTGCTGCAGCAGGTTGCCCACAGCCTGGCCGATCATCGAACCGATCGGGCCGCCGAAGATGCCACCCACGATGCCGCCCACGGCACCCAGGATGCCACCGGCGCCGCCGCCACCGAAAACGCTGCTAACTGCTGATCCCATGTCAATCTCCAAAAATTTGAGGTGAGGTGTCGCGGCGGAGACCGCCGCAGTGATTGAGTGCTCTGCGAGGCATCTGAGGCCGGCGGCGACTGAAGAAAAACACCGGGCTCGCTGCGTGTCTTGTCGCGAAGGTTCTCGAATCAAACTCTGCGGCGTTGACGGGATTCATTACACGGCCTTGGCACCCGCACGGCTAGCTGCGGCTGCTCCTAAATCGGCGTGCGGGGCGCTAGGGTTGGCCGCAGTCGCGGTGTCGAGGCTGCGCAGAACCGCGCACAGCGCGGGCAAGTCCAGGCCCAGCTGGCCGCGCAGGCTGCTGCGCGCCATCCAGGTGGCC